GAGTCCAAGCCCCGCACGGCCCGTGCTGTGAGGAGAGGCGGGCGCTGGTGCAGGAGCCAGCGGGTGGCTGTGCGGGGGTCGGGCGACCCCACAGGCACCCGGGGTAGGGCCAGAGCCAGGGCCGCCTCCCGCGCGGCTCCTCGGTGCATGAGGACGGGGAGCGTCGGCCTCTCCCACGCTGCGGTGGACTGGGGGTGCCGCTGCTCATCTTACCTCCTACCTTTCCAGGCCTTTCCGTTCCCAACGTCCACGGAGCCCTGGCCCCCCTGGCTATCCCCTCGGCGGCGGCGGCAGCTGCAGCGGCAGGCCGGATCGCCATCCCGGGCCTGGCGGGGGCAGGAAATTCTGTATTGCTGGTCAGCAACCTCAACCCAGAGGTACGTGGGCTTCGCCGCGCCGTTCCTCCCGGAAAAGCGAGCAGGGGATGTTGTGCTCGGTCTTGGGTCCCGGAGCGGCGCCGCTCCTCGCTGTGTCTGCGCCTCTGCCCCGGCAGCTCCTCTGCTGCAGCGCTGAGAGCCTCCTCTCCCAAGATGGCTTGAGTTTTCCTGTTTTCCTGAATTCACATCTTGGTTTACGTTTTCACTTCCGTGATATGCAGAATGAATTGTTTTTTGTTACCCAAAGGCAGTGTAAAAATGACTCGGAACTGAGCAGGGCGTGCAGTTCCGAGCCGCAGCAGGCTGCCCTGCTGGTCCCCGGGACCACAGGGTTAGTGCGGCAGGGTGTGGGCGGCCCCTGTGGCACCAGAGCCTGTCACTTAATTAGCTGGTGGACTGTTATTTCTCAGAATGGTTAAATCCCCCTCGGGGAGAGCTTGGGTAAAAGTAGAGGCTCAAAATATGGAACTTGATGGATGGGATCCCCGGAATCAGTATTTCAGGCTGTTCTGTTACTCGGCAATTCCTGTGATTTCCTCAAGGTGGTGCCCACCCTGGCCCTCCCTCGCGGGGCACAGGGCGCACTCCCTGCCTCTGCCTCTTACCACGAGCCCGGTGCTGTCCCTCCAGCTCCTGAGCCAGGGGACCCACGGCGAGGCCGTGCACTAACAGACTCAATCTCCCTTCACGCCTGTGTCATCGTCCTTAGAGACTGACTTGTGCCACAGCCGTTCGAGACAGCGCTGCTGCAGGGCTTGGCTGAGGTGGCCGGGAGCGGAGCTGCACCCGCGCTCCTGGGGGGCGTGGTGGGGATCAGCCTCTGGGCGCCCTCCAGCAGTGCTGTCTGCCGGCATGTGAGTGAAGGTGCTTTTCTCACCGTGTGCCCCGCGGTAAACCTGTAACTGGAATGTGTGTGGAGTGTGACTGATAGAACACTACCTGATTTTCTTATGTATTTACTGACCTGTGTTTTTTTGCTACTTTTTTTCTTTTCTCCCCTTCCCCTTTCCCAATTTTTTTTCTTGCCCTGATCCGGAATTTCTTTGCCAACTGACTGCACGGTACTTCTGCTTCCTGTTGTTGCTTGAAACAAAACAAAAACATAAACAAATAAAAAACAAAAATTCCCCCTCAAACCCTGCTCTCCGGAAACCAACCTGCCCTTGAATATTAACATCCTGACAACTTCATCATCCATCAACCACTGCACGCCTGCGGGGACTGTCTTCCTCGTGTGGACGATTGGCAACTCGCCCCCCTTGACCTCTCCCTCTCCCCTGTCCCTCCGCTGCCTTGCTCTGCTGTCTCTAAAGAGAGTCACACCCCAAAGCCTCTTTATTCTTTTCGGTATGTTATCATTCACACTTTTATTACCTTGTTTTCATTTAATTGAGATGATTTTGATGCCCTGAGACGTATTATGAGTTTGCGGTTTGGCACTCTGATGCTCCGTGGCATCGGCCTCGTTTTATGGTTTGCTTTCGGTTTGCCTATTTTATTTGGTCCCGTAGATACGTACGCATGGTTTATCGCCCTGCATGCTTTTCAGAGTTAGACCTGTCGGTGGCATATGCTACCGTGGCCACCTGCTGGCAGCTTACCTGTCCTGGATGCTATGACTTTGCCGAACGGAGCTGCTCCCGTTAGCGCGCCCTGTGGCTGCGAGACGCAGCTCCGCAGTGGCCGATAAAGCAAACCCGGCCGGGCTGAGCCGGGCCTTGTGGGGGGTGGGTGCGGGGTTGGGGCTGACGGGGAGATGGGCGGGGCGGGCGGCAGGCGACTCAGGCCCTGTCCCTGGGCTTTTGAAGGCGTCTACGGGGACGTGCAGCGCGTGAAGATCCTGTTCAATAAGAAGGAGAACGCCCTGGTGCAGATGGCGGACGGCAACCAGGCCCAGCTGGGTGAGAGGCCGGGCCGGCCCTGGGGGCGGTGGGGGCAGGGGCTGCCTTCCCTCACGGGCGCCTGGTCACACGGGTGCTGCTGTCCCCAGCCATGAGCCACCTGAATGGGCACAAACTGCACGGGAAGCCCATCCGCATCACACTGTCAAAGCACCAGAACGTGCAGCTGCCCCGCGAGGGCCAGGAGGACCAGGGCCTGACCAAGGACTATGGCAACTCACCCCTGCACCGCTTCAAGAAGCCGGGCTCCAAGAACTTCCAGAACATATTCCCGCCCTCAGCCACGCTGCACCTCTCCAACATCCCGTGAGTGCTGGCGGGGGGCGGGCACGGGGCCGGGCCGGGGCTCTGCGTGGCTGTCCTGCCGCGTCGGCCTGTGAACTGCAATTTCCAGAGTGCAGGTCGGACACCTCTTAGCCCAAACCTGAAGTACGGCGAGGCCTGAAGCTTGAGCCGGGGAGGGAGGGATCGTTGGACTTGGAAGGGTTTGGTCTTTTGGCTTAGGGGACGCTCCGCTGTGAGAATATAGAATGCACACATTTATTTATTTTTATTTTTTGAGACGGAGTCATGCTCTGTTGTCCTGGCTGGAGTACAGTGGAAGGATCTCGGTTCACTGCATCCTCTACCTCTTGGGTTCAAAGCGATTGTCCTGCCTCAGCTTCCGGAGTAGCTGGGACTACAGGCGCCCACCCCCACGCCTGGCTAATTTTCTTATTTATTTTTTTTTTTTATTTTGAGACGGAGTCTCGCGCTGTCACCCAGGCTGGAGTGCCGTGGCCGGATCTCAGCTCACTGCAAGCTCCGCCTCCCGGGTTCACGCCATTCTCCTGCCTCAGCCTCCCGAGTAGCTGGGACTACAGGCGTCCGCCACCTCGGCCGGCTAGTTTTTTGTATTTTTTTAGTAGAGACGGGGTTTCACCGTGTTAACCAGGATGGTCTCGATCTCCTGACCTCGTGATCCGCCCGTCTCGGCCTCCCAAAGTGCTGGGATTACAGGCTTGAGCCACCGCGCCCGGCCCTAATTTTCTTATTTTTAGTAGAGACGGGGGTTTCACCATATTGGCCAGGCTGGTCTCCACCTCCTGACCTCATGATCTTCCCGCCTCGGCCTCCCAAAATGCTGGGGTTACAGGCGTGAGCCACTGTGCCTGGCCACGTTTATTTAATCTTTTTTGAGATGGAGTCTGGCTCTGTCGCCCAGGCTGGAGTGCAGTGGCACAATCTTGGCTCACTGCAAGCTCCGCCTTCCGGGTTCACACCATTCTCCTGCCTCAGCCTCCTGAGTAGCTGGGACTAGAGGCGCCGCCACCACGTCCGGCTAGTTTTTTGTATTTTTTTAGTAGAGACGGGGTTTCTCCGTGTTAGCCAGGATGGTCTCGATCTCCTGACCTCGTGATCTACCTCCCTCGGCCTCCCAAAGTGCTAGGATTACAGGCGGGAGCCACCACCCCCGGGCTAATGCACACCTTTATAATCCCCGTGCTATGTGGGGCCAGGCAGGGGATCTTCTTGAACCCAAGACCAGCCTGAGCAATAAAGTGAGATTCCCGTCTCTACCAGAAAAATTGGTTAAAATTAGGCAAGAGTGGTGGTGTGCACCTCAGGGCCCAGCTCCTTGGGATTTGGAGGCTGAGGTGGGAGGTTCACTTTGAGCTCAGGGGTTTGAGGTTGCAGTGAGCTGTGATTGCCACACTCCAGGCTGGGCAACAGAGTGAAACCCTGTTGCAAAAAAATACATAGTGCAAATATTTGGAAATGCAGGTACATCTGGCCCCAAGTATGTCAACCTATGCCCTTTGATATTTAACACATTACTTGTGAAATGTTTATTAGAAAGTCACCAAGGGGCCTGGCAGAGTGGCTCACGCCTGTGATTCCAGCACTTGAGGAGGCTGAGGTAGGCAGATCGCCTGAGGTCAGGAGTTCGAGACCAGCCTCGCCAACCTGGTGAAACCCCATCTTTACTAAAAATAAAAATTCAGCCTGGCATGGTGTCGTGCACCTGTAATCCCAGCTACTTGGGAGGCTCAGGCAAGAGAATCACTTGAACCCGGGAGGCGGAGGTTGTAAGCCAAGATCACGCCACTGCAGTCCAACCTGGGTGACAAAGCAAGACTCTCTCAAAACAAAAAAAAAGGGGGGAGCAGCATGGTACTCTGCTTCTACAAACCTGTGGATGCCTGGTTTCATTAGAAGCTGCTTCAGACCATTGTGGGCATGATTTGATGTCCCATTTCTGGGCTCCTAAAAGGCCCTACACCTTCCCTGGCCACTCAGAAAACTAGTGTGGGGAGAGCCTCGCTGACCTTATCGGACGTCCCTCTACCCAGCCCCAGGCCAACACCTTTCTCCTCCCACAGACCCTCCGTCTCCGAGGAGGATCTCAAGGTTCTGTTCTCCAGCAATGGGGGCGTCGTCAAAGGATTCAAGTTCTTCCAGTGAGTATGAGGCAGACGGTGCCTGGCTCTCCCCGGGCTGCCCTGTGGCCGGCCCTGACCCCATGTCTTGCAGGAAGGACCGCAAGATGGCACTGATCCAGATGGGCTCTGTGGAGGAGGCGGTCCAGGCCCTCATCGACCTGCACAACCATGACCTCGGGGAGAACCACCACCTGCGGGTCTCCTTCTCCAAGTCCACCATCTAGGGGCGCAGGCCCCCTGGCCGGGCCCGCTGGCGACAACTTCCATCATTCCAGAAAAAAGCCACTTTAAAAAGCAGCTGAAGTGACCTTAACAGACCAGAGATTTTATTTTTTTAAAGAGAAATCAGTTTACCTGTTTTTAAAAAAATTAAATCTAGTTCACCTTGCTAACCCTGCGGTGACGGGGACAGCTCAGGCTCTTGGTGACTGTGGCGGCGGGAGTTCCCAGCCCTCCACACCCGGGGCCAGACCCTCGGGGCCGTGCCTTGGTGGGGCCTGCAGGTGGGTGCCCCGACCACAACTCGGCTTCCTTGTGCCTTAAAAACCCTGCCTTCCTGCAGCCACACCCCCCCGGGGTGTCCTGGGGACCCAGGGGGCGGGGGTCACACCAGAGAAAGGCAGGGGGCCTGGCCGGCTCCTGCAGGATCATGTGCCTGGGGCTCCCCGGCCGAGGCTGCGACTCCCCAACCCCAGCCCTCTAATCAAGTCATGTGATTCCCCCGCCCTGCCCCCAGGGCCTTCCCTGCTGCCCTCGGGCGGGCTCCCCACTGCTCCAGCTGCGGAGCTGGTCGTCATAATCTCTGTATTATATACTTTGCAGTTGCAGACGTCTGTGCCTAGCAATATTTCCAGTTGACCAAATATTCTAATCTTTTTTTCATTTATATGCAAAAGAAATAGTTTTAAGTAACTTTTTATAGCAAGATGATACAATGGTATGAGTGTAATCTAAACTTCCTTGTGGTATTACCTTGTATGCTGTTACTTTTATTTTATTCCTTGTAATTAAGTCACAGGCAGGACCCAGTTTCCAGAGAGCAGGCGGGGCCGCCCAGCGGGTCAGGCACAGGGAGCCCCGGTCCGGTCTTAGACCCCTGAGCTTCAGGGAGGGGCGGGCGCGTCGCCGCCTCTGGCATCGCCTCCGGTTGCCTTACACCACACCTTCACCTGCAGTCGCCTAGGAAACTTGCTTTCAAACTTCTTCAGGGTTTTTTCCTTCAAATTTTGGACCAAAGTCTCATTTCTGTGTTGTGCTTGCCTCTGATGCTGGGACCCGGCAGGCGGCCGCTCCTGTCCTCACTGTGCTGTCTCCCGCCCCCGCGTCCTGTCCCGGGGGCTCTCCTAGGATCCCCTTTCCATGAAGAGTGTAACAAGGGTGTAAATATTTATAATTTTTTATACCTGTTGTGAGACCCGAGGGCGGCGGCGCGGTTTTTTATGGTGACACAGATGTATATTTTGCTAACAGCAATTCCAGGCTCAGTATTGACCGCGGAGCCACAGGGACCCCACGCACATTCCGTTGCCTTACCCGATGGCTTGTGACGCGGAGAACCGATTAAAACCGTTTGATAAACTCCTCCCTTGTCTAGGCCTGTGTTCGCTGTGGACGCTGTAGAGGCAGGTTGGCCAGTCTGTACCTGGACTTCGAATAAATCTTCTGTATCCTCGCTCCGTCCGCCTTCAGTGCTTTTCCTCTTGCTGTGCTTTGGGCGGTCCCGGCTCGAACCCGGGCTTCCGCGGGAGCGCCAGGTGGGGCCGCGGGTGGGGTGGGCCCGGCGCTGAGGGAGGGTCCCCGCGTGGGGCGTGCGGGCCGGAGCGAATGACCAAGAGCCTGAGCCGGGTTTCCGCCGCTTTATTGAGCACCCCCCCGCCCCCGCCCGCCCCGGCCCCGCCGCGCTAGTCGGGGAAGCGGCGCGCCTGCATCTTGCGGAAGTAGCTCTCGGCCTCGGCCTCCGCCTCGCGCTCCGCCAGCCCCAGGCCGCCCGCGTGGCGCCGCAGCGTGGACTCCCGGCTGCCCGGGCCCAGCGCGCCGTCGGCCGCGCCCAGCGGGGGCAGCCCCTCGCCCGTGGCCAGGTTGACGGTGGCCACGGCCCCGAACCGCGGCTCCTCCTGGTCCACGTCGCTGACCGACGAGCCGGGGGACACGCCCGGGGGCTTGGCCCCGCCGCGGAAGCCGCGCGCCAGGTCCCCCAGCTCGTAGCCGCCGTCGGCCTCCGCCTTGGCCCCGCCGCCCGCCGCCTTCCACTCCCAGGGCGCGCCGCCGGCCGACAGGTGCACCACCGGGTGGTGCGGCGCGTGCGCGTCGATGGTCACGATGCTGGCGGAGTCGCGGTCCGACGGCGACCGGTACTGCGAGGAGTCGGAGCTGGCGCTGGACGACGACGCCGTCTCGGCCGCTTTGGGGACCGGCGCGCCCGGGGCCTTGGACATGGCGATGACCTGCAGCAGCCGCGGAGGGTTGGCCACGGCCGCCCCGCTCTTCTCGGCCATCATGAGCCACTTGGCGCGCACCCCGGCGCCGCTTTTGGGGGACAGGCCGGCCCCCGCCTGCGCGCCCTCCTCGGGGATGTGCACCAGCGGCGGCGGCCCCGCGCGCGGCGGGAGGATGACCCGAGGCCCCAGCCCCGGCCGCGCCTGCACGGTGGGGTAGAGCGAGGGCGGGGCCGGGCCCTCCTCCTCGTCCTCTTCCTCCTCCTCCTCCTCCTCCTCTTCTTCCTCCTCCTCCTCTTCCTCCTCCTCCGCCATGGGCTCGGCTGGCGCGCGCAGGTGCCCGGGGCTGGCGTCGTCGGGCAGCCCCAGGCCGCGGCCCTCCAGGCTCTTCTGCTTCCACTCGCTGATGAGCTGCTTGGAGCGCGAGGCGTCCAGTGGCACGTGGATGGTCATGTGGCGGCGCGCGGGGTCGTCCAGCGACGGCGCGCTGGCCCTGGGCAGCGTGTGGCTGAAGGTCACCATGTTCTCCTTGGCCATGGGGCTGCGCGGGGCCAGCAGGTCCACGTCCACGCTGGCGCGCTTCAGGCTGCCCAGTGAGGTCTTCTCGCGGGCCACGGGCCGGGGCGCGCCCTCCAGCCGCCCCGGGGGCCCCAGCTCGTCGGTGCTCACCGACTTGTTCTGCTGATAAACCGAGTCGTGGCCCCGCTGTGTCAGGGCCCGCAGCGCGTCCTTGGCGGGGGCCGGGGCCGCGGGCTTCTCTGTAGGTGGGGCCTGGAAGTTGCCCACCGCGTGGCAGGCCTGGTGGGGAGAGGGGTCTGGGGGTGAGGCCTGGGGCTCAGAGGGCTCCTCCCCTCTAATCGTTGGACTTGCCGTGGGGGGCTTTGGGCCAGGGGAGGGGGGGTGGCAGGACCTTGTCCAGTGGGACCAGTTCCCACCTCAAGGTCGCTGACCCGGCACATCTGGCAGGTCTGAGCCCACGGGATTCTGACTCCAGCATTCCAAGGGTGAGACACTTCAGCACCCATGCCTTCCCCCTAAGACCCCCTGGGCACCCATGCCTCCCCCTCAGACACCCTGGGCACCCGTGCCTCCCCTGAGGCCCCCTGGGCACCCATGCCTATCCCCTCAGACCACCAGCCTCCCTCCTCAGACCCTCTGGGCCAGCCTTCCCCCTCAGAACCCCTGGGCACCCATGCCTCCCCCCTCAGGCCACCAGCCTCCCCCATCAGACCCCCTGAGCCTGCCTCTCCCCTCAGAACCCCTGGGCCAGCCTCCCCACTCAGACCCCGTGGGCACCCATGCCAACCCCCCTCAGAACCTGCCGCTCACCAAGTAGGCAGCGATGCCTGCCCCGATGAGGAAGCCGGCATACACGTCCACCGGGTGGCTGCGGTACTGCGTGATCTGCGTCAGCCCGCACACGCCCGCGGCGATGGCAAAGGCGAAGACCAGGATGGGTTTCAGCAGCTTGGTGGTGTCCGAGATGACGGAGTTGAAGTACATCTGGGGGCATGGGGGTTGGGGGGTCAAGGAGGGCTCCCCGCGGGCCAGCAAGAGGCCCTGAGCAGGGCAGACGGGGGCTGGACTCACCGACACGTAGACCGCGGCGAAGGCCGACAGTGTGGCGTGCTGCGACGGGAAGGTCTTCCTGTAAGAGGCGTCCAGGATGAGCCCCACCCACCCGGGGACCCCAGCTCCAGTGGCCTCGCTGTGCCTCTGTGTCCCCACATGTTCACGGGGGTGGAAGGGACACGGGGGTGGAAGAAGGCTCCCAGCCAGGGGAGTTGGGGGTCCGGCTCACCGTGCAGACAGGATGGCGTGGGTGTCGTGGCCGGAGCAGATGTCCTGCGTGATGTAGGGGTTGACCTCGCAGGACGTGCCCAGGAGCGTGTAGTTGGGCTTACAGACGGTGAGGAAGAAGGGAGTGTGGTAACCCGTGGCCAGCTGGATCACGTCGGTCACCAGGGCTGTGGCGCACAGGCCAAACACGTGGACACCTGCGGGGCGGAAGGCTCGGCCAGGCGGGGAGCTGGGGACCCGGGACAGCCCCAGCCCTGCACGTGGACTCGGCTCAGGGTTGGGGCGCGGCCGGCAACTCACCCACAAACCGCACGGTTCGCCGCAGGAAGGAGTTGAAGTTGCATCCACCGGCGTTGATGCTGCCCTCGGCCCCGGCGGGCCCCCCAGCGCGGCCCCACAGCCGGGACTGCAGACAGTACAACATGCCCTCGGCCACCATGATCTGCCAACAAGGAGGGAGTGCTCAGGCTGCAGTGCCCACAGGGAGAGGGCGCTCAGGCAGGCTCCCAGCCATGGTGCCCATAGGCCAGCCCCTCAGGCGGGCTCCCATCTGCAGTGCCCACAGGCTGAGCACTGGCGGGCTCCCATCTGCGGTGCACACAGGCTGGCACAGGCCCCAGTGTGGGTGCTCACCGAGGCAGCAGGGGCCGCGAAGGCCAAGCTGAGCAGCATCAGCAGCGGGATGAGCTCCTCGTTGGTCTCCACGTAGGGCATGGAGAGAGTGCGGTCATAGCACTGGAAGCCCACGTTGGCCGGCTTGAAGAGGTCGGTCAGCTCCAAGAAGTACAGGGATACGATGGAGGAAGCCACTATGGGCAGCTGTGGGCACAAGGCCGGCCAGGTTCACCCTGCTCTCCCTCATGGAGGCGTCTGTCCAGTCCTCCATGAAGTCAGGGCCATCCACGGTCTCACTCACCCACCCACAGATCCAACTCACTCCCAGCCACTCTTTCCTCCATGAATTATTCATCCATCCACAGATGCTCCATCCATAACTCGACCATCTACACACCACACAACCACCCACCCATCCACCCAAACACCTATGCCCCCAACATCCACCCACTCACCCATCACCCACCCATCCACCCACTGGGAACCATCCATCCATTCATCTACCCACCCACCCATCATCCATCCCCCCATCCTCCACCCACGCACCCAACGGTACCCATCCATTTATCCACCCACCCAGCTATCCATCCATCCATCCAGCCACTCATTCATCCATCCATCCATCCATCCATCCATCCATCATCCACCCACGCACCCAACGGTACCCATCCATCTACCCCACCCACCCACCCATGTATCCACCTACTCATCCATCCACCCAACTGTCCATCCATCCATCCATCCATCCATCCATCACCCAGCCATTCATTCATGCATCCATCCATTCACCCACGCACCCGATACCCATCCATCTACCCACCCACCCAACTGTCCATCCATCCACCCACCTAACCACCTATCTACCCACCCACCCACCCTCCCATTTATCCACCTACCCATCCTTCCATCCAACTGTCCATCCATCCATCCATCCATCATCCATATCCACCCACACACCCAACGGTACCCATCCATCTACCCACCCACCCACCCATGTATCCACCTACTCATCCATCCACCCAACTGTCCATCCATCCATTACCCAGCCATTCATTCATCCATCCATCCATCCATCATCCACCCACGCACCCAACGGTACCCATCCATCTACCCACCCAACTGTCCATCCATCCATTCATCCATTCATCCATCCATCCATCATCCACCCACACACCCAACGGTACTCATCCATCTACCCACCCACCCAACAGTCCATCTATCCATTCATTGCCCAGCTATTCATTCATCCATCCACCCACCCATCTATCCACCTACCCATCCATCCACCCATCTGTCCATCCACAACAGTCTTGCTCTGTTGCCCAGGCTTCAGTGCAGTGGTGCCATCTCAGCTCACTGCAGCCTCCGCCTCCCGGGTTTTTGTATTTTTAGTAGAGATGGGGTATCGTCATGTTGCCCAGACTGGTCTCGAACTCCTGGGCTCAAGAGATACACCCGCCTTGGCCTCCCAAAGTGCTGGGACCAGAGGCATGAGCCATCGCAGCCAGCCATGGCCTCAATCCTTTTTTCTTCCCCCCCACTCTGTCACACAGCCTGGAGAGCAGTGGTGCAATCTTGGCTCACTGCAACCTCCGCCTCCAGGTTCAAGCAATCCTCCCACCTCAGCCTTCCAAGTAGCTGGGATTACAAGCATGCACTACCACGTCTGGCTAATTTTTTGTATTTTTAGTAGAGGCGGGGTTTCCCCATGTTGCCCAGGCTGGTCTCGAACTTCTGACCTCAAGTAATCCACCTGCCTCGGCCTCCTGAATTGCTGGGGTTACAGGCGTGAGTGACCTCTCTCGGGCATTGCCCCAATCGTAATTCCTGCTTTGTTGTGGCATCTTAGCAGGGGATCAGCCCTCAGCCCAGCCCTGGGGAGGGCACAGGTCAGGGCTGGGCGCTTCAGGAAGGGAAAAGCCATCACTGAACATCCCAGGGTGGAATTGGGTGGAGGGAGCTGAGTTCATGTCCCGTGAGCATTCATTGAGCGCCTGCTGCATGCAGGCATGAGGCCGGGGGCAGACGTGGAAAGTGGGGAGCACCGTTTGTTTGCACCTGACACCTGATTTGAAAACCACCCACTTTAACCTGTGGGCGGCCAGCAGACCCCCCTGTGCCAAGGGCTCAGGTGGAGATGAGTCAATGTGGGAAGAGGCCCCTGGCAATTATGCACTTGTTCTCTCCACTCTCATCATCAGCATGATTTTGCTGGGGCGGGCAGACAGTATCAAGCCTGGGGAGGGTTTGAGGTGGAGCCTGGGCGTGGCCTTAAAAATACCTAACCGGCCAGGCGCGGTGGCTCACGCTTGTAATCCCAGCACTTTGGGAGGCCGAGGTGGGCGGATCACCTGAGATCAGGAGTTTGAGACCAGCCTGGCCAACATGGTGAAACCCTGTCTCTACTAAAAATGCAAAAATTAGCCCAGCGTGGTGGTGCACACCTGTAATCCCAGCTACTCGGGAGGCTGAGGTGGGAGAATTTATTGAGGTCAAAAGGTGGCGGTGGCAGTGAGCTGAGATTGTGCCAGTGCACTCCAGCTTGGGCAAGAGAGCAAGACTCCATCTCAAAAAATAATAGTAATAAATAAAATAATAATAATAATGAAGGCCGACACAGTGACTCACACCTGTAATTCCAGTGCTTTGGGAGGCCAAGGCAGGAAGATCACCTGAGGTCAGGAGTTCAAGACTAGCCTGGGTAACATAGTAAGACCTTGTCTCTACTCCTCTCTCTCTCTCTCTCTCTCTATATATATATATATTTTTTTTTTTTTTTGAGACAGAGTCTTGCTCTGTCGCCCAGGCTGGAGTGCAGTGGCGTGATCTCCGCTCACTGCAAGCTCCGCCTCCCGGGTTCACGCCATTCTCCTGCCTCAGCCTCCCGAGTAGCTGGGACTACAGGCGCCCACAACCATGCCTGGCTAATTTTTTGTATTTTCAGTAGAGACAGGTTTTCACCGTGTTAGCCAGGATGGTCTTGATCTCCTGACCTCATGATCCGCCCGCCTCGGCCTCCCAAAGTGCTGGGATTACAGGCGTGAGCCACTGCGCCTGGCCTATTTTTATGTTTTTTGAGATGGAGTATGGCTCTGTCGCCCAGGCTGGAGTGCAGTGGTGCAATCTCGGCTCACGCCAACCTCTACCTCCTGGGTTCAAGCGATTCTCCTGCCTCAGCCTCCCGAGTTGCTGGGATTACAGGCGCCCACCACTACCACCACTACGCCCAGCTAATTTTTATATTTTTAGTAGAGACGGGGTTTCACCATGTTGGCCAGGCTGGTCTCAAACTCCCGACCTCAGGTGATCCGCCCACCTCGGCCTCCCAAAGTGCTGGGATTACAGGTGTGAGCCACCACGCCCGTCCTGCAACAGGAATTTAAATGCAATTTTGAAAAATAAACAGATTTTCTACGAACTGATGTAGACAACTCAGTGATACTGTGTTGGGGAGGAACCCACTTGCCCAGGTGTGAGGTAACAGATTACAGGCCAGCCGCCAGCCCTGTGACCTGCATGGGTCGCTGTTTCCTTGAGACTGGGGTCCCGTCTTCCATCTAGGCTCTGGAAGGTCCATCACTAGAGCCAGTTTTCCTGGCCTGACATGGAAGGACGGATTAAAGTTATTTTATTTTTTGAGATGGGGTCTGGCTCTGTCACCCAGGCTGGGATGCAGTGGTGTGATCTTGGCTCACTGCAGCCTCTGCCACCTGGGCTCAAGTCATCTTCCACCTCAAGCTCCTACGTAACTGAGACCGCGGCTGCACACCACCACGCCCGGCTGTTCTTTCTGTTTTTGTTTTGTAGAGATGGGGTTTTTGCCATGTTGCCCAGGCTGGTCTTGAACTATTGGGCTCAAGCAATCCATCTGCCTGGGCCTCCCAAAGTGTTGAGATCGCAGACATGAGCCACCTCCCCGGCTTTAAGTTACTTTACCATCCTGAGCCAGGTGTGCACCAAATGGTGGCTTTTTTATTTTAGAGACAGGGTCTCTGTCATCCAGGATGGAGTGCGGTGGTGCGATCACAACTCACTACAGCCTCAACTTCCTGGGTTCCAGCAATCCTCCCATCTCGGCCTCCTAAGTAGCTGAGAAAAAAGGCACGCACCACACGCCCAGCTAATTTTTTTTTTTTTTTTTTTGAGACGGAGTCTCGCTGTGTCGCCCAGGCTGGCGTGCAGTGGCCGGATCTCAGCTCACTGCAAGCTCCGCCTCCCGGGTTTACGCCGTTCTCCTGCCTCAGCCTCCCGAGTAGCTGGGACTACAGGCGCCCGCCACCTCGCCCGGCTAGTTTTTTTGTATTTTTTAGTAGAGACGGGGTTTCACCGTGTTAGCCGGGATCGTCTCTCGATCTCCTGGCCTCGTGATCCGCCCGTCTCGGCCTCCCAAAGTGCTGGGATTACAGGCTTGAGCCACGGCGCCCGGCCTAATATTTTAATTTTTTTTTCTTTTTGTAGAGATGGGATCTCGCTGTGTTACCCAGGCTGGTCTCAAACTCCTGGCCTCAAGCAATCCTCCCACCTCGGTCTCCCAAAGTGTTGGGACTACAAACGGGAGCCATCACACAGGGCAGGGGCCTCTATTTATTGCATTTATTGTCTTTTTTTTTTTTTTTTGCCTAAGACAGGGCCTTGCTCTGTTGCCCAGGCTGGAGTACAGTGGCATGATCTCTGCTCACTGCAACCTCCACCTCCTGGGTTCAAGCGATTCTCCTGCCCCAGTCTCCCAAGTAGCTGGGATTACAGGCACCTGCCACCATACCTGGCTAATTTTTTGTATTTTTGGTAGAGACGGGGTTTCACCATGTTGGCCAGGCTGGTCTTGATCTCCTGACCTCAGATGATCCACCCGCCTCAGCCTCCCAAAGTGCTGGGATTACAGGCCTGAGCCACAGTGCCCAGCCTAATTGTATTTTTAATGGAGACGGGTTTTCACCATGTTGGCCAGGCTGGTCTTGAACTCCTGACCTCAGGTGATCCGCCCACCTTGGCCTCCCAAAGCGCTGGGATTACAGGCGTGAGCCACAGTGCCCAGCCTAATTGTTGTATTTTTAATGGAGACGGGTTTTCACCATGTTGGCCAGGCTGGTCTTGATCTCCTGACCTCAGGTGATCCGCCCACCTTGGCCTCCCAAAGTGCTGGGATTACAGGCGTGAGCCACAGTGCCCAGCCTAATTGTTGTATTTTTAATGGAGACGGGTTTTCACCATGTTGGCCAGGCTGGTCTTGAACTCCTGACCTCAGGTGATCCGCCCACCTTGGCCTCCCAAAGCGCTGGATGACAGGCCTGAGCCACCGCACAGGGGAGGGGGGTTCCACTTACTGTCATAAACTCCTCACTACGTGCCCGACAGTTTTCCATATTCGGTAAATATTAATTCCCGTCAGCTCCATCGGCGGAAAAGCGGAGGCCCAGAGAGGTTAGGGGCAGGGCACCAGCCTCACCATTAGCAGAGATGAACTCAGACCGGGGGGCTTCGGAGCCCGGGCACCTGCACCCAGCCCCACCCCCTCCGGCCTCCCCGCCCCTGCAGGCCCCCAGCCCCCTGGTCCCCAGCCTCTCCTGTGAGCTCTGACCACACCTCGGTCACAAGGGCTCCCCTCCCAGCATCTGCCCAGTTCCCACGGCCCGGACCCCCTTCGGAGCCCCTGGAGCTCCTAGTCGACCTGCGGAACCCAAGTCTCTGCCCCGCCCCCCTCCGCCGGGCACCCCGGTCCTGCCCCGCCCCGAGGCCACTGCGGGGGCAGCTGTGCCCGCTCTGGTCCCCCAGCGGGGGGGGTCTCTGCGTGCGGGCGAAACCGAGGCGTCTCCCCCGCCCCCAGCGCGACCCCCACCCACCTCCACGAAGTAGAAGCAGGGCAGGAGCGTCATGCTGTCCTTCGGGATCTTGTTCTTCTCCTTGGAGATCATGGTGCCGCGGGCGCCGCAGGCCGTGGCTGGAGGGGAGACAGCGGCGCTGGAGGGGGGCGCGCAGGCGGAACCCGGGGGGCGGGCACGGTGGCCGGCGCCGGCGGGGGAGGGGCGGCCGGGGAAACTGAGGCTGGAGAGAGCGGCGTCCGCGCGGCCTCCCCGCGCCCCGGCCCAGCACGCGCCTTCCGGGCGCCCCCACACCCGGGATCGGGGGGTCGGGGCCGGGATCTGCGAGGAGGGCGGGGCCGGCCTGGCCCGGGGGTCTCGGGGCGGGAGCCGGTCCCCGTGTGGGGGTGGGGGGCGTCCGGGAGAACGGGGGTTCCGGCCGGCGGAGGAGGCTGGGTCCGCGCCCCCCGCCCCGCAGCCCCTCACCTGGCGCGGCCGGCGCCCAGCACAAAGCGCGTCTCCTCCGTGGGGCGGGGCCGGGAGCGGGGACGGGGAGGGGAGGAGGGAGGGGAGGGGGAGGGTCCGGCCCGGAGACCCCCGCGCGCGCCCAGACGCCGCAGCCCAGACGCCGCGCCAGGGGCGGGGGCTCTTTGTCTCCGCGCGTCCTCCGCAGGCCCCGCGCACCGTCCCCGCCTCCCGGGCGCCGCCTCCCCCGCCGGGGGTCTCGGGGGTCTCAGGTCTGCGCGAGCGGTTGGCCGGGCTCGGGGGTCGCGTCCTCCTCTCTCCGGGCCTGCGGCGGCGGCGGTCCCGTCCTCCCCTCCCCGGTGGCTGCGGTCGGCCCGGGGTCCCCCATCGAGGCGGAGGCGGGGGTTGGGGGTTCGGGGTCTCTGACTGTCTCGGTGCCTCTCACGGTCTCTCGCCCGCTCCGACTCCCCCCGCCCCGCGCCTCCGCCCGCCCCTCCGCGGAGCCCGCCGCTCGCTGGTGCGCGTTTCCATGGCGCGGCTCCCAGGGCGCCCGGAGCATCCGAGACAAAAGAGCTGGCGGAGGGGGAGGGGGGTGGGGGGGTCTCCCCGTGCCTCCCTCCCCCGCACTCACCCTCGCCCCCTCCGCCGCCCCGGGGTCCACCCTCCGCCTGGCCGCAGCCGCCCGGGGCGCACGGCGGGATTGCACGGTGCGGGGCTGGGGGCTGCGGGATGCGGGGATGCGGGCAGGGCCCTGGGGACGCGCACTCGGGCAGTGCCTGCTGTCTGCGGGCATTTCCTCCTCCATATGCGCAGCCCTGCGGGGTAGGGGCGGGTTGACCCCCGTTGTAGGAATGGAGAAACTGAGGCTTGGGCACCCTGGGTCGCTGTCCGAGGTCTACGGGCCCCAAACGGCAGGTTTTTAAAAAATCGTTTTTTGGGCGGTGCGCAGTGGCTCAGGCCTGTAATCCCAGCACTTTGGGAGGCCGAGGCAGGCGGATCGCGAGGCCAGGAGTTCGAGACCAGCCTGGCCAACATGGTGAAACCCCGTCTCTACTAAAAATACAAAAATTAGCCGGGCGTGGTGGCGGGCGCCTGTAATCCCAGCTACTCGGGAGGCTGAGGCAGGAGAATCGCTTGAAGCTGGGAGGCGGAGGTTGCAGTGAGCCCAGATCCCGCCACTGCCCTGTGGTCTGGGCAACAAGAGCCAGACTCTGTCTCAAAGAAAAAAAAAAAAAAAAAAAGAATGACTTCCAGGCTGGGCGTGGTGGCTCAGGCCTGTAATCCCAGCATTTTGGGAGGCAGAGGCCGGAGGATCCCTTGAGGTCAGGAGTTCGAGACCAGCCTGGCCAACATGGTGAAACCCCATCTCTACTAAAAATATAAAAATTAGCCGGACATGGTGACGGGCGCCTGTGATCCCAGCTACATGAGAGGCTGAGGCAGGAGAGTTGCTTGAACCTGGGAGGCCAAGGTTGCAGTGAACCCGGATGGCGCCATTGCACTCCAGCCTGGGCGACAGAGGAGACTCTGTCTGAAAAATAAAAAAATAAAAAAGTGACTTCCAGAGGGTTGGAGCCCTGCCGGACGCCTTAGTTTGCTCATAACAGGCACTGCTGCCCCCTGGGAACAGGGTCGCCCACCATAAATGTGGGAACAGTTTTTTGTTTTTTTTTTTTTTTTTTTTTTGAGACGGAGTCTCGCTCTGTCGCCCAGGCTGGAGCGCAGTGGCGCGATCTCGGCTCACTGCAAGCTCCGCCTCCCGGGTTCACGCTATTCTCCTGCCTCAGCCTCCCAGTAGCTGGGACTACAGGCGCCCGCCACCACACCCCGCTAATTTTTTGTATTTTTAGTAGAGACAGGGTTTCACCGTGTTAGCCAGGATGGTCTCGATCTCCTGACCTCGTGATCCGCCCGCCTCGGCCTCCCAAAGTGCTGGGATTACAGGCGTGAGCCACCGCGCCCGGCCAAATGTGGGAACAGTTAAATGGTGATGGGAATAGGATGGGAACTCAACGGTGCTGCTACCTTTGGGCAGACTCAGAGGTGGCCCTGCTTCCTGGGACAGGACTGCACGGACTGCCTGGGGAGGGGTCTTTGGCCCCCGGGGTTCCTGCAGAGGGGCTCGGGGAGGCCCTGTGAGCAGATGGTCACAGGTGGGTCCCATTTTATGTGATCCCGTTTCTCCCCAGTGGCCCTGGAGAAGGGGGACGGACGTAGCCTGCTGCGGCCTGTGAGGGGTGGGGCCAGGGTGACCGTTGGGAATCTGGGTGTTGCAAGGTGGCCACAAACAGCTCTCTGGGGGGGAGGAGGAAAAATGCAATTGCTTTTCGGAGGCTTGTGGGGTCAGGAGTGGGAGGGTGTGCAGGGGAACCCGCCGGACGGCTTGGGGGTCCAACAGAGGATCTGGGGGAGTCTCAGAATCTTCTCACCCTAGGAACGCCAGTAGTGGAAAAGGGGCAGGCCTGGCCATGGAGGGCACATTGCTTGGCTGAGGGGCCTGGGCTTGAGTGTGGGGTAATAGGGAGCCATGCAGAGTTCAGAGCAGGCCGGAGGGGTTAAGCATACCAGATGCTGCTCAAAAACTTTATTTAAAGGCCGGGCGCGGTGGCTCACGCCTGTAATCCCAGCACTTTGGGAGGCCAAGACGGGCGGATCACGAGGTCAGGAGATCGAGACAATCCTGGCTAACACAGTGAAACCCCGTCTCTACTAAAAAAAATACAAAAAACTAGCCGGGCGAGGTGGCGGGCGCCTATAGTCCCAGCTACTCGGGAGGCTGAGGCAGGAGAATGGCGTGAACCCGGGAGGCGGAGCTTGCAGTGAGCTGAGATCCGGCCACCGCACTCCAGCCTGGGTGACAGAGCAAGACTCCGTCTCAAAAAAAAAAAATAAAATAAAATAAAAATTATTAGCCGGGCGCGGTGGCTCACGCCTGTAATCCCAGCACTTTGGGAGGCCGAGGCGGGTGGATCATGAGGTCAGGAGATCGAGACCATCATGGCCAACACAGTGAAACCCCGTCTCTACTAAAAATACAAAAAAAAATTAGCCGGGCGAGGTGGCAGGGGTTGTAGTCCCAGCTACTCGGGAGGCTGAGGCAGGAGAATGGCGTGAACCCGGGAGGCGGAGCTTGCAGTGAGCCAAGATCGCACCACTGCACTCCAGCCTGGGGGACAGAGCGAGACTCCGTCTCAAAAAATTTAAAAAATAAATAAATAAATAAAAATTATTATAATTATTATTACTATTATTTTGAGATGGACTCTTGCTCTGTTCCGCAGGGTGGCGTGCAGTGGTGCAATTTCAGCTCACTGCAACCTCCACCTCCTGGGTTCAAGTGATTTTCCTTCCTCAGCCTCCTGAGTAGTTGGGATTATGGGCGCTCGCCACCACGACTGGCTAATTTTTGTATTTTTAGTAAAGACAGGATCTCCCCATGCTGGTCAGGCTGGTCTTGATCTCCTGACCTCAGCTGATCCACATGCCTCGGCCTCCCAAAGTGCTGGGATGACAGGTGAGCCACTGAGCCCAGCCTCTTTTTTTTTTTTTTTTTTTTTTAATAGAGTTAGGGTCTCACCATATTGACAAGGCTGATCTCAAACTACTGGGCTCAAATGATCCTCTCACCTCGGCCTCCCAAAGCACTGGGATTACAGGCGTGAGCCACCATACCCAGCCTCAAAAACTTTTAGAAATACGAACCCACTCCATGCTAGGCACTGCTTTGTCTAGAACGCAGGGTCTGTCCCTGTTGCAGGGCACACTGATGTGCAGACGGGCTCACCCTGAGGTCACGGGACTGGGAAGGACAGAGCTTCGGGCTCCCGGTGAGAGGAAATGGGGCCTGGCCCACGGGAGAGCTGAGGCCCGTGTTTGGCCAGGATAGGGTGGATGGAGGCTGGGGCCTCAGTCGGGAAGATGGACAGGTGGGGTCTGGGGTGGGCGAAGAGGGAGAGCTGGCCTGGATGGAGGCAGGGGTCTGAGGGCTGTGCCGTGGACCCTGTGAGGTGGCTGGGCTGTGAGGCTCAGTGGAGACTGGATTTGAGCCCTGGGACCCTACCCTGGGATGGGCAGCAGACCTCAAGGCACACTGGCCCCGCCTCCCTGGATTCTCCCCGTATGCGCCCCTTGGAGGGGTAAACTACCCTCAAAGGGGCCCCACAGGCCCAGACACAAACTGGCGTCCCCAAGGGTGTGGGGGACACGGTAAGCCCCAGACCTCAGTTTCACCTTGGAAGTGAGCCCCGTGGTAGAAAATGGAGGTAAGTTTGGATGCAGTAGCTCACACCTGTGCTCCCAGCACTTTCGGAGGCCGAGGCGGGTGGATTGCTTGAGGTCAGGAGTTCCAAACCAGCCTAGGCAACATAGTGAGACTCCACCTCTGCAAAAAAAACGTACAAAAATTAGCCAGGCATGGTGGCGGGCGCCTGTGGTCCCAGCTACTTGGGAGGCTGAGGCGGGAGGATTGCTGGAAACTGGGAATCGGAGGCTGCAGCAAGCTGAGATCCTGCCACTGCACTCCACCCTGGGCAACATAATGAGATCCCAGCTCTACAAAATAGACAAAAATTAGCCGGGTGTGATGGTGGACGCCTGTGGTCCCAGCTACTCGGGAGGCTGAGGCAGGAGGATCACTTGAACCCAGGAGATTGAGGCTGCAGTGAGCCAAGATCGTGCCACTGCCCTCCAGCCTGAGTGACAGCGAGAATTTGACTCTAAAAAAAACAAAAAAAAGGAGATGAAAATTTACATAAAATTAGCCACTTTGAACGGTACAGTTAAGTGGTTTTCGGTGCATTCACTGAGTTGTGCAACCATCACCGCCGTCCAGTCCCAGAACATTCCATCACCCCGAAGAAGGAAGCCCCATCTCCGTCAGCCATCACTCCCCTCCCCTCCCGCAGCCCCGGCAACCACAGATCCACTTCCCGCCTCTGCAGATTTGCTTGTTCTGGACATTTCGTCTTTATTTTTATATAGTTTTTTATTTGTTTTTATTTTTTATTTTAATTTTATTTTATTTTATTTTTTTTTGAGACGGCGTCTTGCTCTGTCACCCAGGCTGGAGTGCAGTGGCACGATCTCAGCTCACTGCAAGCTCCATCTCCCGGGTTCACACCATTCT